GCCTCGGTAGTCTAAAGGCTTAGGATGCTCGCACGGAATGCAAGAGATTTGGATTCAACTCCCGGCCGAGGTAATATTTTTCGCAATAAGAATTAATTATTTACAGATTTTAATATGTTACTCAGTATAATTAAAATCGTTTCGAAGATGCGAAAAAGCATAAAAAATTGTTAAATTGCTAGTCAATTTTAACTCGTGATATATTACTGTAGTTTTAGCGTTTCAAGACCGACAAATCATTTCGGCGCACGTTTCAAAAAGGACTACATATACGTAATACATGAATTCACACAGAATCATAGAAACATTTAAGATCCAGCTAGACCATTTAAGGCTTTGATTGCTGTAGTTTGTGTTATCACATATACGGTTTTATAATATTATTAATAATATTAACAGTAATATAATTTAAAATACAAATTATTTATATATTAAAGAATTATTTTATATCATTTATTAATTATTTTATATCATTTATTAATTTTATTGATTATATTAATTAATTTTACATTAATCTCTCTTTACTATGTTTTACATCGTATTTTACAATCGTATAATATAACAAGAAAAAAGAAAACAAAAATCGAACTTCTCACATTATTACCTTGAAACTCTTGGTCACGTTCCAGTCGAACAACATCGGCAATTTGGCTCTGATTCTTTCGGCGAGTGACGCCAAATCTTTTTCACCCTGTATTGCCAAATACTTTCCTTTTCCCGGGACCAGCTCGGGGTAGGGCTTCCAATTCTTTAGATCCATCTTTTCGTATCGAGATGCGCCTACGGGAAAATAAATTTTAAAAAGGGACTCCCATCCCTTGTATTAATCAACGTTTTTATATTTTACTTTCATCTGTCAAAATGTAAATCAATCCATTTCCATTAAGATTTCATTACTCTTTTATCTAATAGTGCATCTTTTTATCTTCTAATTCGATTCAAAGAACACACAACAAACGATTATCGGTCAGAATGTAGAAACCTTGGAATCTTCTCACTCACAAGTCTCGAATACGGTGTTCGTTATTATATAATCTCGAATGTGCGTGAGATTCAAGATCTGTGCGATTGTAGACTCGCCAGGATATCGCGTCCCATGTCTGATCAGCATCCATACCTGCGTCGGTTCGCAGTCTGAAAATTCCGATTAGGTCCGTTTTGATGAAGTAGAAAATTCTTGCGAATATTCGTCAGGGCTTCTCTTGTTGTACAGCGATAAATACTCACTCGTTAGAGTCATAGTTCCTCCGGTATCATTATAAACGTAAGAATACGGGGTTTTAGTGCCGATGTAAGGATAAAAGCTCTTGTTATCGGAGTGACAGCTCAGAGGATTTCCTAACACTGCGCTTTCCGCCAGGCATATCACGATAATGGAAAAGCAGAGTTTTCCACACATCTTGTAAATCCTCGCTATTTAAACGAGCAAAGAGGGAACTGTTGATTGACTTTAATCACATTTCTGGAAATAATAAAGCGATAGGGATAGTTTTTCAAGCAAATAGATCTAACGCGAGAAAGTAATGTCTCAATGTAAGATACAAAGTGTCGAAACTAATCAGCTGTCATTTTTGAATATATTCAGTTATTGAAAAAATAAAAATTGCGCTGAAAGGAGAAAAGCCTGCAATTTTTAATAGGTATAATTTAATTAATTTTGTTAATATTATTATTGTTATAAATAAAATATATAATAATAAAATGTTTATATATAAGTTTATTTTATCGATGAGAAATTTGCTAATAATAAAGCATGCTAATTACTATCCAAGATTATAGATACTATCCAAAAACAATGACAGATTTAATAGCAGCTATTAAAAGGGTTATCAGCAATATTAAAACTGACACGTTAAACAGTTTTTTACGAGTTTTCATAAAAAAAAATTTGAAAATATTAATCATTAGGATTATTATCTGCACATTTTCATGAATAAAATAAATTTATATATAACATTTTACTAAATTTTATTTATATTTATTAAAAATTGTGCACTTTTCTCTTTTCAACGCAATTTTTGTTTTTTTTCCAATAACTGAATACATTTGAAAAAAATCACCGCAGATTATTTTCCAAAATCCAAAGTATAGATAATTAATATGAGGATCAATAAAGGAAGAAATTGAAATAGGAACGTTTACTGCAATAATCATCAATAATTTTCAAATAGAGTGTTATCTTAAAATATCACCTGTCCAGATCACGAAGTCTGAAGTAATGTTTTCCTTCTTGAGAGAGACTAGCCACTATCTACTCTCGCATGAACAGAGACACGGACTGATGGACAAAAATGTTGTTTCCAACTCGATATTATTGGCGGATCATCTTCCTGAGACTTTGCGTAAATGGAACCAGTTCTATGTATAATGATAATGATTTTTTTTTTATTCCGTGTATTATAGTCGCGCGTGATTTATTCGTGTAATTGCGGAGCAAAAGATTCTGTGAAGGCGACACTTTGCTATCTACTCGCATAATGAATTTTTTTTCTTTCGTAATCGAGAATTCATTGCTGAATCCCGAAACTCGCGGCATATTATTCATAATAAACACCGAAGACGCTGCACTGAGCATGAAAAGTACGACCCTCGAAGGAAAAAGCAGAGTATTTGTCTCTCTCGCTGTCCCACAGGAAGCCGAGTGTGGTTTCTACGGATTGACTGGCCTTTTCGATTATTGTAACCGTGACAATGATTTTATGCCTGGAAGAGAAGGAATTTTTTTATATAACATCTGAGGAATTTTTGTGATCATCCAAACAACACAGTTACATTCAAAATACATTTAATAAACGTTAAAATTACGTCATCAACTGAAAAATAAACGTTTAAAATTTTATTCTTTTTTAAAACTATTTAATAAACGTAAAAAGTTTATGAGATGTTTGTAACGTTTATTAAACTTTTTTTTACTAGTTTAAATTATTATTTTTATGCGAGACATTTTTATAATTGTATATTTAATAACGTCTATTTAACGTTTTTATCTCAACGTTTTTTAAATGTAAATCGTCTACATGGAAATTTATGATATCGCTAAATATTTATCGAGTCAAATATATTAAAAAATTCTAGGTAGAATCTAGAATTTAATATCTATCTTATGTATTTAAATTTTTTAATAAAAATTTAAATAAAAAATATAAATAAAAATAACATAATTAATTAACAATTAGAGTAAATTATCTAAATATCTAATAACTGATCAGTAACAGTGACTCTTGACGAATTTGTGTTTGGTACTTCATTATAAATCTTCAAATAATTCCTTTTTTATCAATATTTTGTTCGTGTAAAACTTATAACTATAAAATATATAGTAATTTTTTTAAATTTATTTGAAAATCAGTACTGAAGCGCTATTTCTTAAATTACCACGTCCCTAGCAATTTCTCGGCATTTATAAATATACCTCAATTATTTCGTTGAATAACGATTATGTTAATTTTAAATTAATTTATGTTGATTATGTATCTTTCTTTAATCTTCTTTAAATTAACTTTAAGTTAATTTTAAATCAATTTATGTTGATTATGTATCTTTCTTGACTCTTCTTCAAATTAATTCCTCCTAATAATTCTCGTAGAAACTTGTTATACATGTATACTTATAAATCAAACGTTTTTGGAATTCCTTTTCCCCAGAAATATAATCTCCAAATCATCCAAAATGCAAATCTGTCTCGCACCTGTCGAAGTTAAGCTTCTTCACGCGCCGCCGTATCTCCGCGGCAATGTCGCCGCATAATTTCGTGGCTTCCGCATCGTCGTACGCGACCTCGTCCAAACGATTGTTCATCACCGATTTCACGATCTTGTCCACCAGATCGATCTTAAACGAATTCTGCGGCTGCATGCGATAACTGTTTTGATATTTCTGCGCCTGCGACAGAGCAATTGCTTCTGCAGTCCAAAACTGTGTTTCAAAACCGACAAATATGTATAATAATTGGCTCGCAGTTTGATTCAATTGAAAATTGTAAAAATTTTATCACACAAAAATATTATTTACCAAGATCCGTTTTGATCGAATATTGCCTTGATTCATTTGTGTTGAATATTTTTTGGTCCATTTTCACTTAATATTAAGAAGGTCAAACAACGAGCGATTAATTAGGACAAAATTAAAATTAATTTATTTTAGAATATCAAGAAAAGATTAACATTAGTTTTTTTATTAATATATAATGCTAAAAGTTTAATGTTTTAGTAAAATAGATATTTTAATTTTGACCTAATTAATTGTTTGTTGTTTGACCTTTTTACCAATTTTATTATATAGATTATAGAGTAAACTAAGGTATTATGGCCATACGGAAAAGATGGCCATAGGCCATAATTTCTCTAATAATTGATAAATAATGCATTTTTATAGTCATTCTTAAAGATAATCAATATTTACAATAGTTCATATGAGTACACTGTTCAAAATAACAATATTATAAATATTATCTAATATTTTTTCTTTCGACTATCTGCAAAGTTTTGCACGTGTCTGCTAAAAACTGTTATAATGTCTAATAAATTACAGTTAAGCTGCCATAATCAACATTACATACAGAATAAAGGTACGTAAATTGCAATGTGACCTATAATTAATACTTTTATTTTCACTATTTATTTATAAATACTATGGCTATCTTTCTTAATATCATGGCCATCTTTTCCCTAAAAATCAGATAAGATGGCCAATGCATACTTTGTAATATTTTGATAAAATTAAAGTTCTGTTAATTTTCTCTTTAATTGCGATAGTATTTGTTACTTTAAGCTTCAGTGAAAGTAATATCCCAAATATTGTTAAAAAGTAACAAGAATAAATGTATGTTTTTTGCATTTTAAAAAACTATGACCATCATACCCGAGTTTACCCTATATTTACATTGCAATTTCGAGGTAAAAAATTGAAATTATTTTTTTAATATTGTTAAATATTGTAATTTTGCAATTTTAAGAGCTTTTTTTTGATCATTTTTTGTTTAACTTTCATTTAATTAATCATTATTTTATATATATACATGTTGTATCTATTATATAATTATATCTATATAATGTTATAAAATATCTATGTTTTATATATTATTTGTGTTAGAATCACATTTTACATTTACGTACATTCATGTATTTAAATCTTTTATGGATTGTCGTTACATAATTCGGGAGATAAAAAAAATTGATATAAAATCTATTAGAGAACTATTATCAAACTAAAATCTTAGCATTCTGATGCATCGATGCGAATTTCGATGATACCACGTAACTCGAAACAAACGTTTCGTATCGATGTTTTTACCTCATTGTCGTCGCAAGTTTTTTCACTCGCTTCGAGTTGAAACGGCATAATGTTGATTTCCGATGATAAATCGATCAGAATGGACCTTTAGTAGTCTGTAAAGATTCTCCCACTCTTCTGCAACAATTCTCTGGTTGACTAATTCTTGCAAGGACGCACGTATCTAAGGTAAACGACAGTTTGTTACTTAGAAACGCTGCGAAGATCGATCGATGGAGGCAAGAATAAATATTTGTGCATAAGTTAATAGAAATTTTATGAAAGAAGCTTAAACACAAGTTGAGAAAATAAAATTAGGTCAGATTTGTTCATCACTGTAGAAATAAATAAGTAAAAAAAAAAATACAAGAAATGTAAAAATATACAATTCCTAAATTACATAATTAATCAATTGCATTACAAAAAGTTCAAAATTTATTTAAAAACTTATTTAAAAGTAAGTATATTTAGGCCTATGACGGTCAAAGCTAGATCTTTTTTGCCTAAATAATTCCCAGTGAATTATCTATATCCTAAATATGTACATGCATATTTATCATATTTGTGTAGTTATTCAAACTGCGCGCCGAAATTTTTCCGGACTTCATCTAACGCAATTAAACTACTGCAATAATATCACAAGTTAAATTAAATTGAGAATGTGCTGAAAACCTTAAATAAATTCTTAGGACGCTCGTACGGAATACAAGAGATCGTACGGAATACAATAAATTTATTTAAGTAATATTTATTTATAATAAAGTTATTTAAAAGTATTGAAAAGTATATTAAAGATCATTTATTTAAAAATATATATATTTTGGAAAAAATACATTCTTTTGAAAATGTGAAATTTTTTAAAATTATTTTTTCTCTACTTCCTTTTACAATTTTATAGAACTTCTTAATCATTTTATTACGCACTATTTCATGAATAACTTTATGTTTTATTATAAGGATACAATGTTACATTACAGATAGATGTATTTAATAATTGTTTTTATTTAATTGTACATTGTATTTAATATTTGTAATATTTTCACCAGCGCAATTTTCTCGATCACGAGCCTCAGAAAACATTACGTTTTCATTATCGTTTAACAATTCTTTTTCTTCCTACTAACATCTCAAATTTTTGCGTAAAATGCATGCCAGAAATGCGTTGCCAAAGTCGAGGGAATATATATATATATATAAGCTTGCTTCAAAAAGGATTTGTGGACGCGATGTGAAAAGCTTCTCAGATTCTCTTGAAATCTCCAAAGATTTACAGATATTTCCAACGAACTCTGATATCGTTTCGAGAGATCGATCCTCAAGGACGCAAATATGAAAATACATTCTAGAGGATCGTGTGAAGCGTTCCTTTTGATTTTACGCCACTTTTTGATCCGTTATCGCTTATAATAGTGAAAATACGCTCTCTAAAATATACTGGTATTACATTTATCGATACGTCAATTCCATTCACAAATCCTAAAGTGACACGACGAACCGGTTATTTTCCAAATTTCAACGTGCAAGATCACAAGAGAAAGACACAGTTTCGAATAATTATTAAATTAAAGTATTACTAGCTTTAGAAATAATACACGTATGTACATATATTCATTACTTATTCATTCATTAATTATAATCTATAATCTTTGCAATCATCTTCCTTTTGCCTACATTACGTGAATACTTACAAAATTACTTGCAATTGCAAGTATTCATTAATTAAAACGTCGTTAATCTTCAAGTAAGTTTTGAAAACTTAGATTGAAATATTTAAAATTTCCAATAAAATAAAAACTGGAAACGTTTACGCAGAACGCAGTGTTTAACAATTGTGCGTAAATGATTTACATAAGCTTTTAAAAACTTAAAAGTAAATAATTTTAATATCCTACTTCTGCCTCGGTCCGAAGAGATTTGCATTCAATAATTCTTTCGCGTTTCAGCAGAACCGGCGATGGATACATCTTCGTGAGGTAGGCGTCTAAAACTTTTCGCACCGTTGGCCTTTTGATGAGAGTTTCCGGTAAGAGCAGCTGCTGGATCGTCCTCGAGGGCGTCGAGCGCGTAAAGCGCGAACCCTCATTATGACGTACTGCTTTCCTTTTAAACGACACAGTCAACACAATTAAATATCGTCCTATCACTGTCATTCATTGAATGCCAAGGAGGATAAAACGACGCTTGTGTCAAGTGTGTTCTCTAAAAGGAAAGCAGCCTACGTGTGAAGCAAAGCGATGAAGCTCTAAGACAGCATCTCCACTTCCGCTTGAATGTTCTGGCGTGCCTGCTCCTCCAGCTTGTCACGAAACTCCACGGTGGCGAAGATGTTCGGGATTTGCAGGAAGTTCTGCAACACCTGAAAGACGCAAGAACGTGAAAGAATGACACGAATGTAATCACTCTGTTTTACTTATCTTATTTGCGTTAAATTCTTTTCTATTTCATAAATAATATAATATTTAAAGGTATAGAAAAAGAGAAAGAATAACATGTATTAATTCTGTCTTGGATTAACATACTTCTCTTCAAAAACTAAAAGAAACTTCTTTTAAATAATATTTTCTGGATAATTTTGAAGAATACTTGAGCCTTCTTTTACGGAATCCAACAGAATAAGCTTTAATAATTAACCTTGGAATACAGTAATTATTTAATTGTTATATTACAATTTATTATATTAATTATTTATTTAGTACAGTAATTATAATTATTATTCTGAGATTTTTAAAGCTTGTTTCGTTGAATTATTAACATTTTGTAAAAGAAGATTAAAGTATTTTCTAATCATTATTATATTAATTGAAATTATAGTTGTTATAATAATAATAATAATAATAATTGTTATACTGGGACAATATTTTTGTATTTTTTTAAGTTCATCGAGAGATTATATTTCTGTCGTGTATATTTTAGGGTTAAACGGGATGACTCACCTTTAGCCGTAGCGCCGTGTACATGGGCTCGCTGAGGAAAGAATATTCCCCGCGTATTCGCTCTCTGTACTCGGCGTAACTTTCTGGAGAGGAGCCGAGTACTGCCATATCCAGGTCCAGGAAGTAGTGTGCATCTTCGCTGCCGAAGGCACCGCCTACCTTATGTGCCTCGGTGCTGTGAGTCGCCGCTACTTTGAGCAGAGCACAAGTCTCTTCCCTGACCTCCGCGTCCTGAAAGATAAAATTAGCCAGATCACTTTTGTGAATGTAATCAACGGATTTTGAGTATTCATCTTTTTTATTTGCATTTTATTCTCTTTTTTTAGTATGTTGACACTCTTCTTTTATATAATTCACGAAATAATCGATAGAATTTCATGATAGGTATTCATTTTTTGTCTCATCTCTATTCGACTCCACTAACAAAATTTTACAAAAACTATGATTAAAATTTTTTTACTCTTTCTTTGTATATAATTTATATTAAAATTTCATGATGAGTCTTTATTTTCTTTTACGTCATTTTTATTCGGCTCTAAAATATTAACAATTAAATCTTGAAACGATTATAATTAAAATTCTTTTTATTTTTGTTCTATTTTTCAATATTTTTTATGGTGATGATTACGCTTAAAACTTGTAAAAAATTAACTAATAAAAATTCAAACTGTTTACTCACCGACGGAACTTCGGCCTCATCAGCAAAAGCATTGAAGTGCTCGAGATTTTTATCTTCGCTAAAAACCAAAGCTTTAGGATCATACTCGAAGCTGCAACAGGAGATTTTTAAGTTAGTCGCTGTCGATGAAAGAGCGACAATATAATAATTCAATTAAATAATAAAATACTGAATACGATAATAGTAACACCATCATGCGCGCTGCTAAAATTTTTTTTATCGTTGCATTCAGCCACCGCACTCACTTTTGAAAGAATATGGCGAGTAGAACAGCTCGCGGGTTTTTGAGATTGCTTTTGATTTCGTAGTAGTGATTCAACTTCTCCCTGAGCGAGTCCAGATTGTGGTACGTGCGTTTTTCCTCCGAGTAGACTTCCTGCAGGCGCGTGAACCAGGAGTCGCAGACCGCGGCGTCCAGGCCCTCCGTAACTTCCTTCCAGCTGTCCTCCAGCGATGCCATTGCCGCTGAAATTATTCGATCCATTTAATTCGCGAATGTTTTACAAGCATGAAAAAAAGTGTGCGAAAGAAAGAGATGTAAATCGCCGTAAATATTTTTTTAATTAGCAGCTGACATGTTTACTGTATGGACCGACACGTCGCTTCAATAAGGGTTGCAATTTCAGTATGAAGAATTTCAATTAAAACTCATACGATTTACGCTTTTCCGGAAGTAATTAAATAGCTAGTGATTTAATGTTTGAGGAAAATTTAAAGGAATATTAATTGTGTTCCTATAAGAAAGGGAATTTATAGTTAAATATTTACCTCAAGACCTTGGTTGTTAATAGCTTAAATTAGTTGAAATTAATTAATTACCGCTTGAAGTTTCCTTACAAAAATTTATTAATACTAAGGGGTAGTAATTAATTACTTATTAAGCACTAAATTATAATATACTTTTAATACTAAAATAAGTAATTAATCACTATCTTTTAATATTAAATTAACTAGTGTTAAATTGGAATTTTGTAAGTGTTGAGAATTGAAAAGAATACGATTTTATGGTAATTTTTGTTTCTGTTTAACAATTTAATGAAGAATTATAATTTCAAGAATTGAATATGGAAAAGAGAGAAAGAGAGGACCCTTATAGAAATCTAATTTAGTACTGAAAATTATTTATTCCAAGTGCTAAAAGTTCTAAGTGATTAATTACATGTTTTGAGTATTAAAAGCACTGAAGGCAGTCCTTTTAATATTTAAACAAAGTAATTAATAACTAGCTTTTAACATTAAATTTCTGTAAAGAGAAACTGAAAGACGCTCAGACATTTACGTCTATTTACAGATGTGCAGAGGTCAATGCCAAAGGATAACACAGAAAAGAAACAATCAAATTCGTTCAATGTCTGAAAGGAAGTTCGCGGATCCAATTAAGGTGACCGAGGAGCCCGAGAGCATCCTCGGAAACGTTCGATCAGCCGCGACATGTCGTGGAGACTGCCAGGGGGAAGAGATCACGAACGCGAGTTCGCGCTGAATCGTGGGCACTCACTTAATTTCCGACGGACGAGGAGCCGCGGACGCACACGGTGTTTCGGGACAGCGGGGAAATTACCGGGGCATGATCCACGCGCGAACGCCTCGCGAATGAGCCCCGCTGAACTAGCGGAGCGCTACGTAGCGCCGCATAGACCGACGTACACAACAGTCCACCTTCACTTATTGATCGGTGGTGACTCGTTTCCGAGCTCGTGGCCGCGACAGTTCTCGTCGCGCGTATGGAAATCACGCTTCCCTCACGTGCGATTTCCGAGGGAAAATCTTCTTAGTGCATAGGTACGATATTCGCGATCCGTTGTTATTTTAAGACCGTCTTAAGTATATGTCTAAGATATTAACACAGCCCTTCGATTGACTTATACATCTTAGGACAGTCTCAAATATGATAATCTACCAAATACCTACAGATTTGTTTTTTATTGCTGTACTGGTTTTCATTATTTTCCTTCTCGTTTTCACAACATTTTAAATATATGTAGTAAGATCTGTTTTTTTATGTGCTATTAAATTTATAATGTCAAATTATATTCAATTTGAATTATTTTTAATCATAATTCCTATCGATCGCCATTGTTCTTATTTATTATGTCGTTAATTTAACTAAAACAATGGAAGTAAATAATTTAATTCAAGAAATGTTAATTATTAATTTGATAATTAATTTGACTCAAATTTAATTTATTATTTACTGCAATTGTACGTTAATATGAATACTTATTTTAAAATTAATATAAAGAGATTGATTAGATATGTGATTGTTGTTTTCAACCATACGTTTTTATTAAAATAATAATACAGTTTGACACATTTAGAAGTTAAAAATAACAAAATATTATTGTTTGACAAGGAACGAATTTGAATTTGATCCTTTAATGGTAATAACACAGCTGAACTAGCTAGTATACATTTGAAATTTAAAGTGAATACAAAAATACACTCACTTACATGTATAATATTTAGTGAAAGCGAAAAAGAAAAATCTAATAGTTTATAAGGCAGGAATAAAAAAACCTATTAATTAGTTTAAGTACAAAAATTGTACACTTATTACAAAAAAGTAAATGTCTCTTATCTTTGTTTTGTGCAAATCAATTTCTTTTAAATGATTTTATAACAGCGCGAGAAATGTAGTTTTAATATTGTTATGTAATTATTAAATTTATATGCGAGTAAATATTAAATCTATATATAATGTCAGAATTACAGAATATCTTATAAGGCGCTTAATAAGATTTTCTAAATTTATATACATTTTCCAATTCATCAAACTGCGCTCAAATGCAGTCAACCTTGAATAAAAGCACTTTTAAACTGAAACTTATAGAATAATAATATCATAAATAATTTGATAATCAATTTAATACGTGTTATAATGATGCCGATAAGCACTTTTAAACTATATTGCCAAGAATTTTTGAATTTTATTATTTACTTAACTGTTTATTTAAGTTAATTCTTTTGTTGATTGTATTTATATTTTATTTATTGTTACATTCGTTTTACGTATACACATACTATTGAGTTTTTTCTTAAATTACTTATGTAAAATGTAATGTAAAAATAATTATTATTATTATAATGATGTAGTGTCGGCGATTTTTTAATTTAATCAATTTAAAGAAAATTCTATTATACAAAATTGATATGCAAAAGTTTTTAATTCACTTGATATTATTCCAGGCATGTAGAATGGCAGAAGTTTTTTAAATCCTTCGCGGAGGAACTAATCGAAAGATCGAATATTACGAGAGTCGAATTTCGATATACGTCCTCGTATCATTCGATGTCGTTCGATATCCGGCACTTGCCAAAGTTATGGAGTGGTGTGCACTTCGCGAAAGAGACTATTATGACTTCCGAAAACTATCCAAAGATAATTTGTTGTTGTTGTATATATTGCTGATCGCACTGATCTTTATTACTTTGTTCCTATGCGGCTTTTTCTTCACTTCTTCTCATTATGACCATAAGATCGCCTCGAACTCGAATATACCCGAATACATCGGTAACTTGAGGTAAGTTAACCAAATTAAGACTTGTGCAGGGAAAAAAAGAGAAAGATTAGATTTTATTTTTAAGAATTAGTAATTTTATCAGGAAATAAGAAATGTGATACAATCAGTAATGAGAAAATAATAAGTAGAAGAAGAAGAAACTGTGTTATATGAGATAAATATCTTCGACTTAGTAAAGGTCGAAGGTATTTATGTCATCTTCGTGTTATTCTTGATGGAAACTTTTCTCAGAATCCTTCATATAATTTCTCAGCATTTTTATATAAATTTCAGAATTTTTGAACAATTTTTTAACTTTAGAAAATTTCGAAGATATATTTTATATGAATTGGAACATTCCTCAAAAGTACTGGGAAAAATCTACACTTCCTCTAAAATTCTTTATATATGTGAATTCAGAAATATTCTAAGATTTCTCATTCTATAATTTCTGAATACATGAATCATGAATAAATTTAAGATATTTTATAGAGAATAAGAAATTAGAATATTTCAGAATTCATACATACAAAAAATTCTAAGAAAAATTTCTATCAGGGCTGAAGAGGACTTTCCAAATGTAAAGACTAAATAGACACATAATTAATAATTGCATTAATAAATAATAAATATAATTTACATAACTTTTCAACATATTAATATCAATATACTTCTAACGCTGCAAAATATTACCGATAATCTACAGAGTTATATAATTTTGGTTTAATTAATACATTAAGGAAATTGAAATCTATATTCAAGTTTGAGACAGAGTCTTGTTTTTTTAATAGTTAAATAATTGTTAATACATTTATATATCTCGAATACATTGATACTTCAATTCAAAATATTGATCGTTATGTGTGTTGTTTTCAGAATAAAGACAGATCTGTTATACAAACCATTGATAAAAAGATTAATATTCATGGTGATCGACGGGCTAAGGTGGGACTTTATTGCGGGTCCAATAGGAAAAATCGCCATGCCGTTGACGAGTGATATACTGGCAAATGATCACGGATGCTTGATACAGGCTAAATTGCAGGCACCAACAGTGACGATGCCTAGAATAAAAGTAAAGCTGCAATTTTGTTAATAATTTATTTGAAAATTCACAATAAAATAAGATTCCTTCTATTAAAATAATGACAAATTACAAAAAGGACTTTTAGGAATCGGCACTGTAATGATTGCGCATTTAATTCGATTAAACGAAGAAACGACAAAGAGATTATTTATAGAAGACTTTTTTCATTTAATCGAATTAAATGCGCAATTATTACAGCGCCGATTCCTAAAAGCCTTTTTTGTAATTTGTTATTTGAAAATATTCTATGCTGAGAAGTCAGTTTGTAAGAATTTTTATTTATTAGGCCATGATGACTGGTACAGTGCCAAACTTTGTAGATGTAATACTGAACTTTGGGAGTAAACCTCTGCACGGCGATAATTTGTTGTCCCAAGCGAAGGCACATGGGCATAAATTAATATTTTATGGAGACGAAACTTGGCTCTCTCTATTTCCCAATATATTTGATCGTCACGATGGTACTACTTCGTTTTTTGTTACAGATTTTACAGAGGTAATTAATGTATTATACAAAGTGGTCCACGTAAATTGAAAAAGTATAAAATATTTTTATGTGTAGAATAATTAGAGGAATTATATTATATTTAAAAAATGATATAATTTAAACAAAGTGACTGTAATATATTTTTAGCGCCTCCACCTAGAAAAAAAGAACATGATCAAAATACGTCCCCCTTGAAACCATTCCATTTTTACCTAAAACATTGTTTTGTATCATCAAAAATAAAATTAAATATTTAAGATTTTCAATATAAATGGAACAGATAATAAGTTATGTGTGATAAACTATTGTCTTATTCATAATAAGATTATTCTTTGGAGGCTGACTATTTGTTCAATTTTAAACAGGTAGATAATAATGTGACTCGACATATACAAGACGAGTTGAGTAATGACGATTGGGATGTGATGATTCTTCATTATCTCGGACTAGATCACATTGGTCACGTCGAAGGTCCGTTTGGTCCATCAATTAAACCTAAATTACAAGAAATGGATAAGATTGTCGCTCAAATAGCCCAAAAAGTTCAGGATTGGGTTAGTATTTAAAAAATTATCTTAATCCTTGCTTTGTAATCTTTTTCTTTTTATCTGAATATAGTATGTAAAAATAATTTACACATATTATTTAGAAGAAATTTAATATTGCATTATTTTATTTATAGCATAATACAGTCCTATCACTTATTTATTTGCTTATTTTTAGAACGATGATGGAGAACCCACACTTTTCGTCGTCTGCGGCGATCATGGAATGAAAGACTCTGGCGGCCACGGCGGCTCGACGCCGGAAGAAACAACAGTGCCGATTATTACGGTAGGAGGAACCAACTGTGTATATGAAGACACTGAATTAAGAATTCCGATTGAGGTCCAGCAACTCGATATTGCGGCGACATTATCGGCCGCTCTCGGGCTACCCATTCCTTCTACAAGTCTTGGCTCCGTATTTCTGGACTATATCTACAATCTCCAAGACGATAAACGGCTCTTCCTCCTCAATTACAACTTGAGACAGTTGTTTGATCATTTCCAGAAATTCACCAACGAAACTGAGTGTAAGCATTTAACTCTTAAGGATTATTCGTAAAACATTAAGGATATTTAGATATTTAGATGACGAGAAGATAAAAATTCAGGATTATATAGAAATTTAGAAGTCAAGGAAAAAAAAATAAATTTAGTGATATGAAAGATCAAATTTAAATTTTTAAGATTCAAAAACTTATAATTCACAAATATATCTAGAAGCGTGTGAGGAAATCTTCAAAAAGTCTCCGAAATTATTTTATTTATTTTATGCAGGTATATTAAAAAATAAAATCAACCAGCAATAAAGGACCTCATAGCTAAATAATAAGGATGCAAAACAAAACAGCTTATTTTCAAAGAATTTTCTTTCTTGTATCTTTAAGAGTACATATCAACAAAAGAATTTTTCAAAGGATTTAAGCTGGATGAGGTCTACATACTATTTCTTTCTTTGCACACACATTTTATTGTAATAACTGATATCACCTCGTGGATTGAGCTATCTACCGAGCGCGTCTCCGGGTGGCGGATAGGAGGATGGCCAGACGACGTGGAGTTGTCTGGTTAGTGGCAGTCATAGCCGATGAGGTAAAAACTGTCGCCGCGGACCAGCTTTCTAAGCCAAATTGTGAGCTATCGTGATGAGGGCTGCGTGGTACTGGGGGAGCAGTGCCGTTAACGATGCCTCCGGGGAACCGGGCGCCACCCCGGTAGTACACAGCTTTACCCATGCATGCGGGGCTCTGCGTGGGCGGACCGTATATATTCCCTAGCTGCTCGTGGGATTCAAATTGGAGAAACCTAATTTTAATCAAATTAATATGAAAATAAAGATAGAAGACTCGCAGAATTTACGCACACCAGTCACTCAATTTTCTGCCTACAGTAATACTGCATTCACCACAAATCAACCGAATGCTGTGGTACCGAGAAGCACCACTTCATCCCGTTCACGAAAAAAACGAAGAAAACAGAATTACTATCTACGTAACTTTGCCTTTAATTTTTCAGCGTCCTCGACGGTGCCACAGACAATGGCGAGCACATCCACCGGCGTCAACCGTCCGCAAAGTTTCACCAGCTTTATGTCGAATAACGAAATCACAAAAAAACAAAAAATATCTGATAATAGAATCGAAATAATTAATCATAATCTAACCAGAGCGATAGTGTCGACGAACAACATACCCTCAACAATGCCACAGGCAACGGCGAGCACATCCACCGGCGTCAAACGTCCGCAAAATTCCATCGACAACTCTGTGTCGAATAGCGAGATCACTAAAAAGCAAAAAACATTTGACAAGAGGATCGAAGTGATTAACCATCACTTAATCAGAGCAATAGTGTCGACGAACAATATGCCTTTGGGTTTAGAACACTTAACACTGTTCCGAGGTGCTATATCGAAGGAAATCGACAAGATTGTCGATGGATTTATTCCCAAATTTCATGATTCATATATCAAATTTGACGCTATAGTAATCAAATGTGTCGATCAGTCATCGCTTTATTGGCTTTCGACGCAGATCGACAACATTTCGCCATGGCCGCGGGCCAAACTCAAGATGATCATTTACAATGAGCTGCAGAAGTATTTTCGGGCTTGCGTATGGATTCCGGGTCCACTCGAGTCCTCCGAGACCGTGCTGAAGCGATTGAATCGACAAAATCCGGATCTTAATACGGCAAACTGGCAAATATTCGCCGAGAACTTGGGAGCTTTCAAAGATGGAAGAAGTATATTTCTCGGAGTGCCTGAATCGGATTTCAAGAAACTTGAGGCATCTAACTTTATGGCTTACCTAGGTCTTGGGCAGATCAACTTTGCTTTTAACAACATCAATTAGGGGAACTCAGTCGCGACTAATTCGTAATGTCCAGCTATTTTTTTAGCTCGACCGACATAAGCTTTATTCTTTGCTGTACATAAAAGACTACAATCCAAAAAATATTCTTTATATCATATGTTCTTGCATGGTATAACAAAAGAAAACAAGTTCTTTTGTAAATCAATTTTTTCAATTTTGTATAAAGACAAATAAATGTCAGGACATATTTGTCCTTATGTATTAAAAATAATTTGACACACACACACACACACACGTAAATTAATTTCTATCGTTTATTTTCGTTTTGTGTTTCGTTAAGTTTTCGTTCTATATTTCGTTTATTTTCGTTTTGTGTTTTATTTCTTCAGAAACTCCAGAGTCTAACAATAAAAGAAAAAGCTTAAACTGTGTCCATGAAGATACTAGCAGAATTCTTCGAGATTTTAATTGCTATTAATAAGAGGACGATATGTGTTACATTTGAAACAATTCATCTGAAACTATTCAATCCTTTTTATTAAAAAAAAAGATTTAGGAATACTATAATTTCCTTTTGGGCTTCGTTTCTCGCGTCGAGATTCTCGTATGAAGTCTTAAAAAGAAATGTTGACTAAAAATCTGCAAGTTGACACTAGATAGTTGATAAGTTTCTTTAAAGAATTAAAAAGATGCTCTGTTAAATGACTACATTTTCTTTTTATTATTGTACAATAACAGAAAATTGTTACATCTTACTGAAACTTTTAAAGTAATAATGAATTAAAACAAACTACTACTTATACATTACTTCAATACTATTATCTTTATTTATATATCGGGATGCGTTTTATTTATATTTTCTTCTATAAGTAGCATCTTTTATCGTCTCTTGACAGTATTCCAAAATTTCGAATTAGCGATCATAAGGCAGATTCAATATTTTTCAGATATATACCAGAAATATTTGAACATCACGGATCTGCATCTTGATTGGTTGAACTCAAACGAGACACAGCGTGATCGAAACGACATTGAGAATATTGTCTTGTCTTATCACGCGATTCTTGATACGATGAAGGAAGAGCTTGTAACTAGCCATTTAGTCATATACGACTTTAGTCTGATAGTTGTTGTCTTGTTCGTCATGTGGCAAGTAAGCAAAATAGATCATTTAGAAAGATCCAATTAGTATTTAAGAAAAAAAATTAAACAATGTCGTGGCTTGTTTCGAGCTTATAATTAGAATATAACTTTAAATTAATATAATTAACATAAGAATATAAATACTAAATAATATTCTACACAGACGTTTCAGCTTACAAAGCCTTCTTCAGTGTTAAAACGCAGAAATACAATATTAAATTAACAAACCAAATAAATATCAAATACAATGAAATTAAAAAAAACCATCAGTGGTGAAGTGTCAATATATAAAGAATTCAAACGTCAAAAAGTATTATTACAGATTATAATAAAATAAGAAGATTTAAAATACTTCAGTCAACAGTAGATTACATTATGTCCCTCGATAAAACAGTTGCCAAATTCCTCGGTTGAAATCGAGAATTCAGTTTGTCTCAGACTTGTATCAAACTATTTGAGAATTCATTAGTTACGAGTATTTTATGATATTGTTAATTTATATAAATTACTGTAATTAAAACCCTCAATAAGAGATCCGGTCACATACATTAAAAATTAGATGTTGGCTGTTTCTCGTTTGAAAATTGACTCTCGAATCGTTTGAGATACAAGTCTGGGACAAACTGGATTCTCGATTTTAACCGAGGAATTTGGCAAAACTGTTGACTGAAGTATTTTAAATCTTCTTATCTTATTATAATCTGCCATAATACTTTTTGACGTTTGAATTCTTTATATATTGACACTTCACCACTGATGATTTTTTTTTAATTTCATTGTATTTGATATTTATTTGGTTTGTTAATTTAATATTGTATTTCTGCGTTTTAACACTGAAGAAGGCTTTGTAAGCCGAAACATTTGTGTAGAATATTATTTAGTATTTATATTCTTATGTTAATTATATTAATTTAAAGTTATTATTCTAATTAGAAGCTCGAAACAAGCCACGACATTGTTTAATTTTTTTTTTAAATATACGAGCATTTTTACTCTAGTATTTAAGAAATTACATTTAAAGAGGGGATTCAAATCAAAGTGGACCATAGTATAAAAAAAGCTCTTATAATATCTTATTATATTAAATATAAATTTTTATATATAAAATTTATGAAGATTTGTAAAAAAAATAATCTTAAATTTTATAAGTTTTTTTCAAATTCGAAGATTATAAAATGAGAAATCTTAGAATATTACAGAATTCATACATATGAGCAATTTTAAAATCTAGATTTTTTCAACACTTAAAAGTATTGTAATTCACATAAAAATTTAAAAAATTTTATAAAGTCAAAAGTATATATAAGCTTTGAAAAATTCTGATTGTGAAGAATAAGAAAAATTATCTTTTTGATTCCTTTTCTGGAAAGAGATAATGATATTAAGTATAAATTTTGAGATATGTGTAACACTGTAATTAGTATCCTTTACTTTAATTTAAGGAATTTGAAGATAATTTTACTCTATATCTTCTTTCAGATGGTTTTCATCGCGTTTCATGTGGAATGGACAGTTTGGACTACGCGTAAAAACACAGTATTTTTTTTCTTGGTGGGATTTTCCCTGTGCTTAGGATTGTATCTTTACACTTTTGGAAACATAACTGTTCTTTGTCCGAGTATCAAAGCTCTATTGTTCCTACTAATTATCGGCGTTTCATATATTAACTATAATCTGAATTTAAATGACAAGAGAAATGTGAGAACCAATTTATTTAATTTCCAATGTTCGATAATAAAAAATATTAATTTAAACATTGAAAGTATTTGTTGACCAATAAATAATTAGATATAGATTTATTTAATTTATATAAATTGAACAAAAATACTCTCGTAATAAATATTTTACTACAAATAT